ATCTATTAATGTTAGACACTGTACTGTCATCAATGTTGTAAATGTTATTTATTTGATTGTGACAGGGGGGTGCTTTGTGTTCAGGAGTGTGACAGCAAGTTTTGTTAGACAGGTGTTTGCTTTTATGCCCTGCCCTGGAGTCCGAGCTGTCGAAATCCTCCTCTGTCTGTATTTTGTAGCAGCACTTTGCTTCTCTATGCCATTGCTTACATTGGACCTAAATATTTTATAAGCCATCACAGATTCTGAACATCTTTGTTCATCCGTGGTATATGGTTGGAGTATGTGCAAATAAGTAGTAAGAAAGTAACATTGTTTATGAAGTTGATGTAGTCAACAAAGGTGGGGGCATAGGTGTTTAATTCCATGTAGTTGTTGTGAGTGGGCTTAAGGTACAATACATTACATCTCATTTGGCGGACACTTTTATCCAAAGGGACTTACAATTAGTGCATTCAACATCTATGAGCGGCCATTTAGCGGTTCAGTTCTTGCCCAAGGAAACTTTGGCATGCAGATGGGGAAGACTGAGAATTGAACAGCTGACTTTCTGGTTGGAAGATAACCACTCTACCCCTCAGCCACAGCTGCCCACAGCTGCCCCAGCCATACCAGTCTGAGAGATCAACCAGTCCTATAGTCCCGACATGGCTCCCCATGGCCATACTCTGACAGTCCATATTGTGGGCTTTATGCTGGTGATGAGGGGTTTGTATGCCGGGGTCAGGAACAGAGTGATGTGGTCAGACTGGCTGAGATGGGGAGAGGGCGATGCTCTGTAAGCATTCGCTATGTTGCAATAAACATTATCTGGTAGCTTACTGTCTCCTTTAGTTGGCTCCTTATAGAAAAAGTGCTATCCATAGATGCACTGTATGAATGTGTGTGTGAATGGGTGAATGACAATAAACTGAAATGTAAAGTGCTTTGAGTGGTCATTAAGACAAAAAGAAAAGAAAAAAAGCGATATATAAATACTGATCAAATACAGACCTCGATGAGAACATGGCAGTTCCTTTGTGACATCATGGAGGTTAGTCAGTCTTAGCTTAGCATAAGCTTCTGGATGGATGTAGACTGTAAATCCTCTTGACAGATGAAACAGTCCGCAATTTCTCAGCAATGTTCATAGATGTGTGCCAGGCACGTGCATACTGTATATGCACGCCCCGCCGCCTCTGTGTTTCCAGGATTGAGCAATCCAGTTCAAGCAGTACACAGTCTGGCCTACTAGCTTCCAACTCACTGTCTCCATGCTGAGTTAATCCAGGCAAACCTCTGGTTGTGCTGTCTCACCTGCCTTGTAGTCCTGATTTTTTAAGGAGGGGTGGAATAAAACCATTTTCTCTATTGACTAACATCTGCTGCAGGCTGTATGTCCTGAGATATAATCCTAACTATTAAGGGTAGAGGATGCCGCACCTTGTTGACCTTATGAGACAAATTCAATTTGTGAATAGGCGCTATACAAATAAAATTTGATTGATTGATTGATTTTAATAAATGTATAATGACTACATAAAATATAATTGTGCTTTTAACAGCTAAAACCTTGAGTTCTGGGCCAATTACATATCTGAATAATCAAAATAATGTGAACTGGTGATGCTAGCTTTCTGTGAATTGAGTTGATTCAGCAGTTGCTGAGTGCACTACACAAACCTTGAAAACACAGACCACAGCAGCAGTCACACTGACTAAAATAATTGCATTTGTGATTGTACAGTATTTTCTGGCATATGCCTTTGATAATGTTACAGTGTTTCCCACATAGATTTCCCTCACTGCAATTGTAGAATGTTTTACTGCAGGTACCTGTTCTCAGCCATAATCCAGAGGGCCCTGCTGGCCCCAATGGTGTGGATCCTGGTCACTTTGCTTGATGGAAAGATCTTCATCTGTGCCTTCAGTGTGAGTGTAGACCCTGCACTCTTCTCAGGTATCTGTATATCCCCACATGTTAAATAAATGTCAGAACAACAATCTATACTGTACACAGATACTAATTTGGTCTGTATATTTTATAATGGGTCCTCAGGTTTGCCCAACAATACAGAACAGGATGTGATCAAAATCATGGCAAAAGTCCCCTGTAAGGAGGATGTTATCTTCAGGAACAGCTCTTTCCGCAAAGCAGTGTCTCGTTATGTTCGCTGCTATTCACAAGTAAGGTGTCATACCCTCAGCATGCATCCACTTACAATAGGCTACATACACATCTTTGTACTTTTTTCCTCATGAAGAATTTCGTATGGGAAAAAATAAACCCTGAACCAGATCAGGGTCAGGATTACAGCAAAAAATATTGCCCTAATTAACACACTGACAGCACTGACAGTAATTTGGGTTTCAGTGTCTTCTGCCCTTTCAGACTTGTGATCATGATCTACCCAGAGGGATCATATCACAAGTGGACAGCTCTACTTTCATATCCGATTCTAAGCCATAGATTTAGCGCCTGAGATTGCAGTGATGGAGTCCTTTGTAAAAGAACCATTGTCATAGCTGATTGGGCTTTTATAAGGTGTTTGCATGCACACATGTGGGAGTGTCAGGAACCATTAGAGCTGACTGACAGCCTTTTGTGGGCTTGTCACAGTCATTGCACCACTGACGGCTTTTGTGGCCCTTTTGTAGCTAAATATTCTCACACTGTTTAGGCAGTTGGCTGGTCTATCCTTCTCTTCCTGATTGTACTGGGATCACTGGGACGTTTCATCAAGCCTTGTTTTGATGACAATGCCAGCTTCCTGCAGACACGTTACTGGAGCAATTACCTCGACATGGAGCAGAAGCTCTTTGACGAAACTTGTGTACTGCATGCGCGTGACTTTGCCCGGAAATGTGTGGTTCAGTTCTTTGAGGACATCAGGGAGGACACTATAATCCTTCATCCCCATCCACCCTTCATCAGAAGCTCCAAAGAGGAGTGGGAGGATGGAGAAGAGGAGAGACTTCATGGGATAACAAAACAGGAGCAGGTGGACCAGCTTTTCAACAAGTGGTACTTCAATAAACCTGAACTTGACGTGACAAGGATTGCCCACAGACCTAGGACGTGTGTTGCCTGGGAGGACCATGAAGGGACTCTGATATCTAGGACACACAGTGCTGTATAGTTGTAGGAGAAGCGTATTGTGATCCCAAACTCTCCAGTCAATAAAAGCACCTCATCACTAGTGTTCTTGTTTTTGTATTCCTGTTCTGCTCCCTTGACATAAGTAGACTGTAGATGATGAGAACAGACATGATGGATGTTCCTCACAACGTCCACCAAGAACCAGCTGAATATAGGCCTATGTTATGTTTCTCTGTTGTATTTACTGCTTACATAAATTGACAAAAACAGTTTTGTCTTAAGGCTTTTTATTTCTCTCACCAAGAATTTCCACCACACCCCCACGTCTTTTTTCCTGGCGCACCCAAAGTCTCTTTAAATGATCCGGAGTGGAGAACACCTGTGTCAGTGTGTGTGATTCAAAATAAATACATTTAACTGATAGTATGAAAATACACATACTTAGCATCTTCTCTAGTTTTTACTAGTGAATGATGTCCCCCTGACTCAAGCTCTTCAGACCACTGTATTAGTTCATCTACAGGGTTTGTGTAGTGCTAAATTTCTCACCCTCCCAGTTTATATTGTATACAAGTACATATTCAAGATTGAATTTATGTTTCAGAAACTCATCAGCCCTCTCTGTCAACAAAGACAGAATGTATAC